TATATATATATATACATAGACATATATATATATATATAGATATATTGATAATGCTATAACGTACCGTTTTTGGTGACGAGGACCTCTTTTGTTGTTGTCCATTGCCTACCTGGCAGCCTGATTCGTGAAGTCCTTTATGTAATTCGACGCTCTAAATTGTTTATGGGACCGAAATGAGTGCGATGTATGAATAGTTGCGGAGGAAAAGTGGCATGTGAAGCCACACGTGGAATGAGCAAAGTGCACATGCACATTATGCATAATAAGCTGAACTGTGATATGACCCATCTACGCAAGGTTTCTACGAGCAAGATTCACAACTGTGCACGGTTAGCCTTCTACGATAATTCTCACATGACAATTATAACCTGTACGACACGACACAACCATCCAAGCAGATTGACAGATTGAGAAATCGAGCAGTTCTTCTTGCTTATAGTAGTATATGCGATACGATACTTGTATTCTATTCAACGCAGAGCACACAAACACGATCAATATATCGCAACACACAAAGACCCCACCCAAATACTATATATCCATGCTACAGTACACAAAATTTTTTAAATGTACAACTTAAACTCAGACAAGTAGTTTATTACACTGCATAATATTACGACACATCACTTGACAAGGTTTGGTAGCAAAAATCATTCCTACCTGACAGTCCGGCGAGCAGAAGAAGTGCCGCGTCTTGCATGAGCATATGTATAGAGCGTCAATACCGCACACGCAGCAGACGAACGAATTTTTAGCCATAATACTACCAAATATTTAACTCCCTTATGGTCTGCTGTTGACGTGTGCAGTAAAAGCATATCAATCCGATATGTGTCGATATGTGTAACTGTTGATTTGCGTACTCACTCGCGATAGTGCTAAAATACTAATATGGGTAGTGTACAGATATTGTATGTTTAGAAAATAGTATATAACTGCTATGTGGTGATAAATGCAGCACAATGCTGGTTTTCAGTGTCAATGTGTACCTACTTGAGGGAATGACGAGCATATACGCAGCATATATAGATTTCTTCTGAAGTGTAGGTGTGTTGTTCGTCTAAAGCACTGATCTGTTCTGAGTAAAGCAAAATAAATGGAGCACTCATTACTACACACACAACATAGTTGGCACTCAAGTCTCAGGGTTTAGTGTAGTGTCAGCACTTGCATAAGTGTGAGGCTGGCCAAACTTCTCCAACTGTTTTTCTGTTTTCCACAGTTCCCCACACCGGGATTCATAAAACCGGTGCTATGTCAGCGATGACTATTAAAAATATACCCGATCTTATTTACTTTTTGTTTTTACCATCGGAGGCCGGAGCTGGGAGTGGTGGAGGTGGAGCCTCTGTCTGTCGTCGGCCGCCAAGCGCCAGCGCATGCAAAATTGCAACAAATATACACAAAACACCAAATGACAATTCACAATAATTTGTAAATAAAATACACAACAAAAAGTAAAACGGATTTACCATCGCATTTTCTCAGTGGGATTTGAAACATTTGAATTGGGTTTAAAATTGCTACCCAAAAGAACTGTATCAAACAGTTTGGCCCCAGAGATCGCTCTTAAAGATTAGTGGATGATATTATTGGTCACAGTAGTTAATTAGTGCTTTATTTAAGTAATTCGACTCCAGAATTTTACGTAAATTAGCGTAGTAAATTTTGAAGAACCTAAGTTTGCACTACAACTATACGTATATCGAACCCAAGGAAAGAAAACGTACAGTAGTGCTTGAAATCTGTGTCGGCTGATAGGGATATCCGTCTTCATATCATCAAATGACAAAATAAAAAGTTATATTAATTTGAAACAAATGCCATGGTTATTGCGGAACCGCCAGAGAACCTTGAGAATTTGAGATCCTGAATACTCTTCGTCAAATGACAAAAGTCAAAATCAAAGGTCGCATAATGTTTTTATTACGTTGCAATGCTCATGGGCTCTGAACATTTTACACATCGAATCAGCAATGCAGCGAATTGCCATCGACTCCAAATTCTACATCAGCGAGCCAAAACTTAATAAAATAATTAGGACAGAAATTGCGAGTTCCGCTTTTATCGCTGGCCTACATATTTTTTTTTGTTGGAAACCGGTATCTTGTTTTTAGAAAAGCATAATTGTCCACTTTGGTTTCACTGATGTTGTGTGACAGACTGTCAGTGAGCGAGTGTCTTTTTTAATTTTTTTACGTATAAAGTAACACAAAAAAAAACATTATGTATGATGTATATTTCCTCTTTTATTTTTAAAAACAAAAAAAAATATTTCAGATTTCGAGTGTATGATAAAATCGACATGCTGTTCTGCATCACGTTACACAGCGTGTTCTCGTAATGTGTTTGATAGAAATGTTGTGTTTGATGGAAAGGTTGTGTCACGTGTACAAATTGCCAGATTTTTCAATGAGAAAGAGAAGGCAGCCTATATTTACATGCTGCACAGCTGCAGCTGTAGTGTAACAAATAGTAACTATCAATGACTGTAGCCTGTTAAAAGTGTATATAAAGGACTGGGCCTTCTCAGGTACCCCTTCTACAAGTGATGATAACAAGCTTCTTCTGTCACGGAAGTAGAGTGCCGCGGCTACAGTGGTAACAGGGCCATGTATTTATTCGATCTGATTCTGTACACATGTCAAAGAATAAAGCCAATGATAGCACCATCGTCTTCAAATTCGGTCCCATGGACAAACTGAAGTATTTTGTGAGACGTAGACCTATCCGATCAGCCCGTTTATTCACTGCATGATAATATAAATAATACCTGTACATCAAATATGCAAAAGGCATTTCTATCGTCGTTGCGCCACTCAACTAAATTCATTATTGCCAGATGTTCTAAGTTTAAACTCGAACAAGAGAGTTGACCTCCTATAGCTAAAACTGGCTTCAAATCACGACACTCCTGTCATACCCAAGCACTCGCCGCCATGAAATATGAGACACAGTCGGAAGAGAAGTGGAACGGCGTCTGTCTTGACTTTCCAAAGGCAAACGACAAAGCTGCTCTCCCAGGTCTATGGGCACTCCTACACAACGCTGCAATGCCCAAAACCTGGATCAACTGTCTCCGAGCGCTATTTGAGAGGATCTCTGCCCAAGTGACATACCGCGGCACACTCTCGCCTCTATTCTATAGAACGAATGGCATCCTACAACACAGACAGGCTCAATCGTTGGCACCCAGCTATTTATTATACGTTACCTCCCCCTAAAGATGGCGCGCACACATGTCAAGCCTAAACTAACCAAATATCTAGGGTACCCACTCTCTCACGGAATATCAGGTATCAGCCTTTGGCTTCCATGGCTTCAGCTGGTGACACCCCCGCAACCGACTGATGCTGTGCAAAAAATCCATCCTATCCACGGCTACATATGGCCTGAACATTATTCCCAGGCTCCGCCTATATGGAAGTATGATCTGTACTCCCTGTTCGAGCGCTATAACTCAGCACTCACCAAGCAGCAGCCATCTTCATGGGCACTAAATATACTAGGTTTCCCAAACATCAAACAAACTTACTTCACTTTTGTGGCCTGATCCCCGCGCGACCATTCGCGAACTACCTCGGAGATTGCCTGGTAGTACATCTCGACTCAATGGTCAGCACAAACCCACTCACTCCTCCGACACAACCCACCTGGGGCCACGACAAACCATCACTGTGATTTCCGTATAGTATCTATGCCTACCTGAAAACTGTACACAAAACCAAGGGCGAGCGTACACCCGACCATGTAGCCCTCCGCCGACGGTGTGACGACAATATAAGAGTTCAACGAAATGCTGGTCCAACAAGGAGATCGCGGTGTGGCAATGACCCGGCGCCAATACTACTACCAACCTCGCTTTGTCCTCAACCGAATTATGACGGATTACCTGGTTCTACTCGGTATTTTGAACCCTGCGCTAGCCGTATTTCAGAGGTGGGTACGCACTTAGTAGGTTGGCAAGCAATGACGTGGCAGACTCGATGAAGTGTCAGTTGTTTTGTCAGTACCGGCCTGAGTTGACTCAGCGCACACCCTTCATCGTTGATTCACTTGGCTCAAGCTTCAAACGGGAATATACTGACCGCTTCTTCCGATCGATCTTCCCCGAACCACTACAACGGCTATGAGTACATTGTAACTTATATCTTTTGAAATAAGTAATATTATCCTAATGATTTAAAAAAAATGATGATTGTGAAGCTGAAGCTTTCATTTTCGAAGACTTATGAATATACATGTTTGTATTGTATCTTTATAACATAGTCATCAATCTCAAGACTGACAGCACAGTTTTGTATATTTTTAAAGTTGATTATAGAATATATATATATATATCTATATCTATATNTCTATAT